CTACGTCTTTCATGCATGTTGTAATAAGAAACTGGTCATATCTGAATATAGACTAGTTCTTGCGAATAGAAATTTGTTAAAAGTCGCAAAAACAATATCTGCTCAACTTTGAAAATACTTGTACAGCAGCACCATTCTGGTGATACCTCAGCAACCATTAATCCAAACTGAGCAAATTGGGTTCGATTGGAATGCAATCCACAACAATTACAAAATTAATTTTTGTGTCATCTTTAAATGAAGCACAGATAGTGCAGTTTTCAACACACTAATCCTATCCAATGATTGGATTGTGAAAAACAATTCTGGGCATCGACTTCAATTAACAAACAACAAATTTAGGAACTAGGGACTACCAGAGAGGCTACCTTAGAGCTGTAGAACACGGATTTAAAAATCAACTGATAGATTCTGATCCAGTCTAAGCAGGCCTTGTCCGCTCTCGTCTCTTGGCTACTGCTGCGCATGAAGGTCGCGAGAGGCGAGACTAGACGGCGATCAGGTGATGGCAAGGGCGTTCGGCCTGAAGCGGAATTCGTTCCCTCGATGCCAACGCCGTGCGTGATACATTGCCCCTCTTCGAGCTGATCTGATCTGATCTGATCTAATCGATTAGCCATAGTGCATGCGTTTTTGTTTCCGAGAAATAATGCGTACATGCATGACTACCTAGCCCAGCAATCCACTTGGGCCATATGAAGCTGAACATGCAAAAGGCCTGAAGCCATGCTACGACCCAGTCCTAGTCGCTTCTTTTTTTGGGGAGAATCCCTGGGCTACTTGCATACTTGAGAGGGGGCCCCTCGATGTTGGGGGCCCGGGGCGGCCGCCCCCCCTGCCCCCCCTCAGGGCCGGCCCTGCTTGCTCCGCACGTTGTTGGCCGCCGTCTCGCCGCTACCACGACTTCCCTGGTCTCACCGCATGTACGCGATGTCAGGGTCATGTACGTCGCCCACTGCCTGACCGAGCTGGCCTCCCATGTTGTGCAAGGTAGTCCCTTTATTAACCATGCAAGTAGCACTTTGCTCCTTTCAGATCTTATACTCAAGGAGTATATGATACAGAAACTACACACAAATTTTGCTACCTGTGTTTTACATCTTGCAGACTATGCTCATTCTTCTTTCAACCGGTTATGCGATGCTCCGAAGAGGGTGATTCTTCACCAATCCTAAAGAATACGACAGTTCATGTACGATGATACAATTGGGTAATTTTGCACACTTCACTTTAACGATGGGTGCGCACCTACTATTCATCTATCATGATGATGCAGAGGTCGGATTACCTTTTGTTTAAAAAAAACATCTATGGTCCGTGCAAATGTATGTGAGAAATCATATCGTACATGTTGAATTGATAAAATTCTAATCTCCAACAAAAAATTCTTGCCCGGACCATATCCACATCCCCCTTAATAATCATCACCCTATTGTAAATGAGAAACATTCTCATACTTCTAGGTGTTTTGAGTCATACAAAAGTACATATATATCATCAGTACTTTTTCTGCAAACCTCTATTGTGATGCATATGTTGGCCTCTTGACCTTATGTTAATGTAGATCGTCGGTATTGTAGAATGTGCAAGTCACATGTAGAGATTTGGCACATAAGTTTGGATCCTGGCCTTCCTCAAAATATTTATGAAAAAATCCTCAGGAACGCGCGGGGCATTATCTAATTTCACATAAGCTCAAGGATACAAGTGTTTGGGTGTACAAAAGAGGTGGTCAGGGTGTCATAGGAGGTGGTCGGGGCACTAGCTAGAGTGCCTAAACACCTTTGTATCTTCTCTCTGTACCTTCTCTCCTCTATCAGCGCTCCTATGAGGGAGTGGGGTTGCTAGAGTATGCAAAAGTTCTCCTCTATTCAACCACGGCCCTCCCCTTATATAGATCCGGGGGTACCACACTTGGTCATGTTAATAAATATAGTACGTTGTACAAAGGAGGATATTCGTCGCGCTTCGTCCACTTGCCTCTGTCGATCAGTCAGGAGATAACCTGACACGGCGCCGGACGTGACGCGCCGCACCGCCCTGATGCCTTTATTTATGGTCGTCGTCCCGTCTTGCCTCGTGCCTCACAGGCCGTCATGATGATGGCCCTAAGTGTAGCCCTGTACTAGGCTAAGCTAGTAGCCTTGTCAGGTATTCAAGACTTGGCCGGTGGAGTGTGCAGCAAGGCCAGCTTCGCTGGCCGACGTGTGTCCTACCAGCTCAAGGAGGCAGCCCCTGTGTGCGTCATGGATGACGTTAGGGCCCTCCTCGGGGATCTCCTATAATTTTTTACATCTTTGGGTTCATATTTTTACCATGACATCGTGACTTTCTTTTAACCAAACCACTACGGTCGAGCAGAACATACCCTATATTTTAATACTCCATCGCATGTGGAACTACAGAAACTCTATAATGTGGTCTGATGTTAAACATATATGGTGGCAGATTTACTTGGCACTCAAGAAGTGGATGATATTGTTCAGGGAGAACCCGTTGGAAACTCTGAAATAGGTCTCACAGCAGATCACAATGGTTCTCACCTCTCCCTTCCTACTGACAGTGGGGTGGTCGATGGCCTAGTCACTGATGGTGTCTCGAGCTATGATGCTCTCACCAAGATGTCTCTGGGATTTGTAGAGTGGGGTACAGCGAGTCTACGCTCGAGGCTTTATATGTCTCCTCCAAGAAGACCTGGCCTCAACAACAATTGCTTGTCGGCGCCTAGCCCTGTCACTCCACTAGAACTGCCGCTATCACTGATCTAGCCGATTAAAAAGATCAGAAACAGAGGATATATTAGTCCGGTGGAGGCGGATCCAGCGCTGCGCGGTGACCAGATGTTGCTGGGTGCTAGAAGTTTGAGTATTTTGGCTCTAGCCTTCTTGTGTTTGTCTTTTGGCATTGGATCAACTATAGGGAGAAGTAATAAATTGTACTGCATGGAAGGTGAGGCTTTGTTGAGGCTGTAGTAGTAAATGGAAAAACAGAAGGATGAGAAGACCAAACATGATATAAAGACTGCTATTATGAGCGGATACTTACTGTGACAAATTTCAACGTAGCCCCATATATATCTCGCCTCTATCAGCAGCAACAGCAACACCTTGAAGAATGAAGCATAGGAGGAGAACATAGGCTTGACACATCTGAATCAATGTAGATAACTGAATTTACTTGTTCTACGGATTCTTGAGAATCACTATGGATGTGGATTTCTGAGAATCAGTTGTGGCTCTGTATTCCCGAGAATCAGAATCTGGCTATTTGTTTACCTTGTTGGTCAGCTGTAGGAGATGTGGGTTTTGTGACATGTTAGTAACGCCCCTAAGTGTTGACTATGATATTTATATGCAGATTAAAGCACAAGTTGTTGACTAGATAAAGTGAGAGTTAGCGGAAAAAACAAGTAGCACTACCTCTGTACCAAAATATAAG